TCGAGACCCATGCATGGTTCATGTTCATTTTAGCTTTAAAATAAAAACTCCGGGTTGCTGTGGTCTTCTGTGCCGCGGGAGGTCACGGTGCTGCCCCGAGCGAGGAAATCCCACTGGGGTAGCTGTGGGGTGGCTCCAGCGCTGGGGAGCAGGAGGGGGGACGCAGGGCGAAGCGAGGGATGAACAATGACTCGCTGCGGGGATGGGGGGAAATTCAGATTAAATATCCCTCGACGCACCGGGCACCTGTAGGCTTCTGCGAAGGGAGCCCGTCGCTACCCCATCAGCACCCCCGATTCGCAGCCAGTTCAGGTACCAGCTGAAGCGCTGAGCAGGGAACACCTTTAATAATTTGCTGCTTCTAATGCATTCGGTCAGGCCAATTGCATAAAATTACAGGTCTGCCCTCTTCATTTTACAGATTCTTTTTGTCCTAGGAATGTATAAATATTCAATGAGCCCACTCATTAAACACCGTGGGCAGCGTAAAACTCCAAGAGCAAATATTTTTATGTTGTTCTAGCTTTGGAGATCCTTTTGAAGATGATTTCTGCAATGTCCCTGCTAGGGCTGGACGGGGACTAGCTTCCCCTGCATGCAAATGGTTCTGATCGTCACATAACAAATTGCTAAGTGAATTACCAAATGGCATTTGCACTCTCTGATCATTCCAATGAGTGTAATTTAAATAAATCCATTCATGGAGGCTTAATTAGCAGGGACCGTGCAATTTGCAGCCATGTATGGGAAGTCTCTGCTAATCACAGATTGAATCTGCCAGGGAGCTGAGTGCTGCTGAAGTCCTGGAGGGTTAAAATTGCTCAGACCTTTCAGAGATCAAGCACTAAATCAGAGAAATACTGGTTCCACACTGATGCACTCCTGCCGGGGCTGGTGCTGGAGAGGGGAGCAGGTCCTCGTGGGGCACGTGGCTCTTAGCAAACTGCTGCTGGTCGTTCTCTTACTTCTGTTTTTCCAGTTATCAAAGGGAGATAACGATGCTGATTTCTTTTAGAGACCGCTTTGACGTCAGCTGAGGAGGAAAGCTTGAGTAAAGCTGAGTACAAGTTGTGTAACTTTTGTTTTTGCAGGCTATCTTCAGTGTTTGTATTAAAAATACCTAACTTGGAGAATCGGCTGACATCGTAAATTTGCGGGAGACATTCAGGTTAGGCATTTGCTTATTATAAGCCCCAATAAGGATGTTGTTTATTTACAGTAACCTACAGGAGTCCAAACTGCTGGCTGTCCCCCGTTGTACCCTCTGCCGTGTGCATGGCAGAAGTCACAGCATCACTATGAGACAGGTACGTCAGTCAAATGGATTCTCGTCTCAGTATCTGCAAGTTGGAAATTCAGCGTCTAATCACATCTTCCAGGGAAACAACTCTGGTCCCACATCCACCGCCTTTGTGCCTGTGGCCAGATCGGTGCATCCCTCCACGCCGGTCCTGATAACATCTCCCCAGCAGGAGATATCATGAGAAAGTAAAAAGCAGCTCTTTTTCAAAATGTAGGCCCATAGAAAATAGAAGGGGGACAAAGCAAAACCACCCGATCATTAGACGTCTGCTGAGGCTATAGGGACGCCGAGGGGTGCTGCACAACAGCATCCTTGTTCTGGTGGCTTTGAAACGAAACAAAGCTTGTGGGCCTGGGACGCCGGCAGCGTCGGGTTTCACCTGCCCTTTGTGTCTGTGGGAGAAAAGCAGCTCAACCTGGACAAAACCTATGCAAAATGGTGACCACGGTGGGTAGCAGCGCAGGATCCCAGCTTCGTTCAGCAAGGCTCCATCTCAGCAGGCGCTTATGTCCCACCAAAACCTTGCTGAGATCCTAGACAAGCTCAGCACCTGCAAGCCCGTGGGCTGTCATCCTGCTTTTATCACCCTCTGCAGCGGTGGAGACCCTGCAGATCGCATTTCAGGTTTTTGTTTTATTTTTTTTCCTGGTTTATCTTGCAGTCATGGTGGTGAGAATGAGACCTGTACCTTTGCCAGCGTTTTCCAGCTAGCGTACAAGTTCTCCTTCCCATTCGATCGGGATCCCATTGCCACGTTTGTTATCTTCTGCTTGTTCATTAGCTTGAGATAATTAAAATGGAGCTAACAAAAAATTAGCTCATTCAGTTACCGGAGACTTCAAACCTATGGAACAAAGTCAGAACCATGGATCACACTGTATAAAATGTGACCTAAAAAAAAACCCGCCCAGGCTGTCAGTTCTCTGGCATGCCATTTGTCATCAGCACGGTGTAATTATCGTGGACTTTCGTGACACAATAAATATGAGAGCACAGGTGGTATTTATTTTCAGCTGTTTAATGGAAGAAATGAAAGGTCCTGTAATACAGAGTCAACGCGGAGAATTTGTCAGGCTACACTAAAAACTTCACCAGCCATGACCTTGGGGTCATAAAATTACTCATCAGGAATAAAATTTTTTATGATACAGAAGTGAAGAGTATCGATTTTATAAAAAATAATTTTATATACAATATAAATAGAAAAAACGGCTCACTGCAGTCTTCTGCAGGGCCTGAGAACCCAAGAGTGCTGTGCACAGATCAATACAAATAATATCTTAAAACATAAATTTTAATTCATTTATAAAATACAAGCTGCAATATTTTTTTTCTTAGAGCTATCAGGAAAAAAAAAAAAAGCTAGGGAATGGTTCCTCCAAAGCCTTCTGAAATTTGCTTTGTCTTGCTGGTGTGTTGTGCGTTTATAATTGTAGCAGAATAAGCCTGACTTTAGACTCCTGGGCTGGCGCCTCGTCAGCTTCGTTAGGCCCAGGGGCCCGCTAGCGATCCTGCTTGAGGGCCTTTGTTTAGGAAAAAAAATCTCCCAGGGCCTGCTGTGGAGGAGCACTGTGAGGAAACAGAGAAATCTGGTTAGAACAGCCAGCGAAAGGTGCAGTTGGGGGGTTCAGACTGGTGTCCTGCCTGGGAAACCACCGATCGGAGGACCGGCAAGAAGCGCAACCCAAGCTCCGAGCTCCAGAGCCGACGCGGAGCTCGCTGCCTGAAGCCCAGCTGACGGTGCTGTGCCCTGGGCTGAGCACCCTTCCTCAGGTACGTGCAAGCCTCAGGACGCTGAATTTCTGGTGTTATTCTTTTCTGGCAGCTGAGCCCTGGGGCCGTGGCCGGTGCCCGCTCTGTGGGGCCATGGCTGCCCTCGCACCCCTGAAGTGAGGCTGCACCCGGCGAGAGGGCACCAAGTCCTTTTCCCGCCCACGGCGCTCGCCGCCATTTTGTCTCCCCGTCCTGAGCACCTCAGGGCGCTCCTTCCCATCCCAGCTGCTCTGTGCCTCCCCTGCAGCCCCTTGGTGGTCAGCGGAGCTGCGGTAAGGGCTCCTGCCTGCCCAGCCCCAGGCTGACGCCGTCCCTGCCCGTGTGGGACAGCCGCCGTGTGTTGCTGGGGCAGGGAAAGGAGTGAGGATGATGATGGGCTCACACAAGAAAAATCTCTTTGCAGTGCTTTGAGGGTGCAAGCTGTCTGGTGCCAGGCACCAGCTTGGGATGGGGCTGGTGGTGCCAAAGGCTTCATCCCTTTATTAACTGTGGTTTCCATCTTGTCCTGTCTCCCAGGAGCAGGTCTGGTCCGGGCTGGAGGTGAGAGGAAGCTCCCTGAGCCGAGCCCGGCCCCGGCTCTGCGGGGAGAGCGCCGGGCATCGCCCTGCCAGGGCCTGCGGCCTCAGCAACCCGCATCGCCCCGCTCCTCCTCAGGCACGCGGGTCCCAGCGCTGCCGCCTTCAACCCCATCCAGCTGTGCTGCGAGGTATGTTCTTTACCAATATTTAACGGCTTTTGAGGCAAGAATATTAACATGCCTTGGAGGGGCAGCTGAGGTGACTTTGCTACACAAGGGAATGTGAATTTTTCCACGTAATGAGATGGGAATAGGTTTGAGGGTCCCGTTGTTCAGTAGCTTTTGCGAGGCAAATTTGGGATATCTTCCTGTGAGGGTTGAGTTTGAAATGCTTTTTTAGAGAAATCGCTTCGTTCTCAGATAACGGCTTACTTTTTTTTGAACCTGTAGACTGTCTATTTCTTTCCTACTCGATCATTATACTGATGCCCAAAGAACTGGCTAACAATCCTCACAGGAGGTGCCAGGTATAGAGACTGCGAGAGCCATTCAGGACTTTGGTTATACAGTTTGAACAGGCGTCCCCTGAAAAATGTCAGGAGTTCTCTCCTATTAAAGGTTATTAAGATTCGGACAACTTGATGGTCCCTTTTACAAAAAAAAAAACAAAAAAAACAATCTGACAACTATTAGCTAAATATAAATACTGTCTCTGAGGGTACCCCTGAACTAATAAGAGGTATTCAGCTGGGCTAACAAAGTGTCCATGGCCCGACTTTGGCATCAACAGAGGGGACCTGAGCGCGCAGCAGCTCACAGGAACGGGCACTACCGCTGTGTTGCCAGCCTGAAAATAACTGGTTTTTAAAAATGTTGTTTTAATAAACTCAAAACTCTTCTACCTTAAGGAAGGAATGAACTCGCATTTTAAAGTAGTTTAATATTAAGTCCAAAACCTCAGTTAAGGCAGTTTGCAGCCCAACACTTTTCTTTCCTCTCATGTAAATGGCCTTTTATATATGAACTACCTCATTAAATTCAGTTGGACTTCCCAGGCAGGAGAAGGAGGGTAAATATTTTTCAGAGGCTGGTGCTAATGCAGTCATTTAATGCTGAATAAATAAATAAATAAAAATTACAGACCTTTATTTGAGAAGCACAGGTGGAGCGGTTATAGTAAAATTCATAACTTACATTGCCAAACACAAACAATAAAGAATTGATTACTTCAGATGGCTTGAAATGCTTCTTATTGAAAACAGATGCTATCTAGGTCAAAACATTGTGTTAAAAAATAACTTCTTATTCTCACTATGAATAGTTTTAAGTGATTTGTTTAGGTTTTTTAAAACATCTAAATTAGTTTTCTCAAGTTACAGATGAAGAATGGCTTATTCTAGTTCAACACGGGACTTTGTTGCGCTTTCAGATCTCCATCCAAATCTTGCTCGTCCTGTAAGTCTTACAGACATAGTACTTTTGTTCTCAAATGAAATTGTATAGGACTGTATTATATTACTGCAAAATTATGTAATTGACGTGTATTTAGATACTAATAGCATTAGTATAATTGTTAGATATAAAGTACCTTACCTTCTTTGTGTATAAACCAGCAAAACGAAAATTGATGCTGCTGTTGTCCATAGTGTGTGGATACCACAACTGTAGATACTGACTGGACAATTCAGTGCCTGCAAGTATCAGAGGCTTCTTTGTAGTGTTTTAAATGGATGCTGAATTAAATGTACAGAGTCAGCATTATGTAGCCACAATGCATCTGTAACCTACAATAGTCTTTCATCACAACCTGTGAACATAAGGCCCGATCCTGCAGTCTTTCCTTGTGTGCCCAATCCCTCTGAGCTAAATAACATAGCCCTGAATCACTCAAACAAAACCCTCGTTGAATGGTAGGGTGTTTTAACTGGATAAAAATCTCACAATTACATGTCAGATAGGATTGTTTCTCTTTCTTTAGAACAAAAAGCAGGTTGTCAGTTTATGAGGAGCAAAGAATTTTGCTTGTGGGAGTGCAGGAGAGTAGGGTGAACCAAGAAGTAAACTTCATGCACAGCAAAGCTCTGTAGTCGGCAGATTGATACGGATGTTTGAGCATGAAATTTTTTTGCTGCTGTTGTCCTGATATGAGTGAGGACCATCATCACTGGAGTAAGAGCTGAACAGGGGAATGTGCTGTAAAATTCAGTATTTTCCACGTTTGGGTTTTAAACGGTTGAATAAAAATAGGGGGGGGGGCACAGTTCTTCATTCTTTGCTCTCCAAGATTATGTTTTAACTTGGGAGGGAGAAGGCTACGTGATTCCCTGTTGCAGTGTTTCCCACCCTTGTTTCCCAACAAGGAGTTTTCCTGTTCCCACAGCTTTTTATTGGAGAGGGGGACAATTTAGTCCCCTTTTCCTCATTTATTTTAAACAAATGAAAAAGAAATCACAGAAAAGCAGTGAACGAGGAGAGGGAGTTTTATATGCCCTCACAGTGGTACTGTATATTCTTTCCAACTTTTTATAAACTCCCGGACTCCAGCAAAGCTAATTTAATCTGTCATTCACAGTTACTCCCAAATAGAGTGACCCACTAACTCTGTTAAAAGCTTTTATTTTACAGATAAAACTAATCTTCAGTACTGCAATTAGCAACATATAGTAAAGAAAGTATTTTTATGAAAAAGCGATTCACTAGTATCTCATGCTAGAACGATCAGTATGTGTTTAGGACTTTAGAGCAGCTGAGCACACCCCATACAAAGTCCTATTTGTTTACTTTGTAGTTTATTTTTTAAAAGTAAAATAGACCAAAGTCTAAGCAACTTGCAATGTGTTAATGCTGTGGTCTCACGATTCGGTTGAGCAGCCTGAAGCAATGCTCTGCCAAAAAAGGCAACATGGCCCACTTCCCTGTGGCAGGCATGTTCCGCTCCTCCTCTCTTGGTGAAACCGGTGCTTGTTTCTCCCCTTGCTCCCCCCACAAAATAGTTTCCAACCAGATCACTTCCTTCTGCCAGCTTGCTGTGCAGGCTCAGTGCTAACGCAGGAGAGGTGAACGCACCCGGAGCAGGGACAGGGGAGCTCTGTTTTGGAAACTGTGGATTTACACCAGCGTAATTCATGCGAAGAGTCATCCTAAATGTCAGTTATTATGACTGGTGGTGAGATACAGGGTATGTTGCACTCTGAGTTAATTGAATTGGGGTTTTGTTTTTTTTTAAGAAACAAAACAAAAAATAGTAAAATAAAACCCTAATCTAAAGCAGTACATGTTGTGGACAGATAGAAAATACTCTGTCAGACAGATTGTAAGGACTAGGATGTTACCCTGCTGTACACACACCTCCTCTGCATGAGTTTGTGGCCATCGCTGTAGGATAAGACAGTTGCCTTGCTCCATCTAGTGATGCAAAGGCTCATTTCAGAGCATGTGTCAGCATTGCTCCAGTGAGGTCAGCCAGGTTGCATTGCTTTGTGAGTAGCTGCAAAATGCAGCCTGCGTGGGTCACTAAACCGTTGCACTGCCCCTCGCCAGCTGCCTGCTGGGGTTCCCGGCCGGAATGGGAAAGTGAAGTGCATGGGCAAAGGGGACGAGACGTGGCCCGCTTCCTGTTTTGAAGGACCCTTGTGGTATTGCAAAGCGATCTCTCCTTCCAGTTTTTGTTACCACACCAGCTTTCATTGCTTACCTCTTAAATCCCAAACTAGCACTGCAATATCCGTCTCTCACACTGAGGAGGACCCTTTTTTAACAACAAAAGTCACACAGCTATGCATTATTAATATATGTATTTTATATATCTTCTGTGTGTGTTTGCTCCTAGTAGTTTTATTTGACAGTTGAGACTGGGGTGTCTTGCCTAATAAACAGAGGTTTGGCAAAGCAGAATAGGACTGATTTTGTTTTGAATCATCAAAAAATTTCATTGCCTAAGCTTCCTTTGTGGCTGGTTGAGAGGCAGACAGCAAGAAAGAGGCACCTGTAGAAATTTATGTTGCTTAGACGATGATGAGACAAATGGCCCTCCCTGTGGATGTACACGTGTGCATCTCGGTGCTGACAGCAGGGGAAACCTGGGACGCTTAACTGTAAAGTGAATCCTGGCCAGACTTCTCGTGGTGCATTTAAGGAGATCCGAGACCTGTGCAGAAAGCGTGAAACACCAACATTACTGCCTACCTGAGGAGAGATTGCTGTAGAACAGCCAAAATTGGGAATGCTTGGGGTGAACTTTTGTCCTCCCATTGTCTTTACAAACAGAAACAGATGTATTTCTTTTAATATTTTTATTAGTCACTTTTTCTTAAAGTAAAATTGCATGTTTATGTTTTAGTCTTTAGTTCATATGGTACCGTGGAATAAATAGATTTAAATGATTACCAGTCAGAAGTATGTTTATTATCATCAGTAGAGTACAAGTCCATGAAATCTAATTCATCATATACATCTGTGTTTAATACTTCTATTCTATAATCTTTTTTTTTTTAGAACGTAATCGGTGTGGTTATTGGGAAAACAGATGTCAGAGGCTTTCCAGACAGAAAAAGTACAGTCCCTTTTACCTGTTTTTACTTACTTTTCTTATACAGTATAATTT